ATTTAAGGATTTAGACATGTGGGAGTACAGTGCAAATTGACCTTCTTGGCTGCCAATTTTGGAAACTGTTTCTTTTTTTTAATAAAAAAAAAAAAAAAAGAACTTTGATTTGCTATAATCCTCCATCAGGAGAAAACACGAAGATAATTAAGATTTCAGCAACCAATTTCTCAGGCCGGTTCAAGTCCCAAAGCACCAACAAACAGATGAATCTAAAATGTGAAAATTGAGACTAAAATAAGAATTTGATTCCAAACCTATCTAAATGTAGCAAACATCAGGCAATGCTAATTGCACTGCTCCTTATGAACATTTACCCATGTGCAATGGGAATATATACATACTAGCTTTTGTAAAGAGACGTTTAACACTGACTGAAACCTCTGTAGTGGGTCTCATGGCCTCCAGCACTAGAAATGATGAATTCAATTTACTAGCGCTTGAAGGTGAGACAAAAATAACAACCTTTGCTACGGAAAGCACCGGTGCTGGAAGGATCTGCCGGGTATCGACCTTGCTGTTCATGCGGGAGAAGCGGGGGGGAAGCAAAGACGATTTGCTCAATAACCTGTGAAGCAGGGGGGTAACAAAGTCAGCTCCTTGACGGAGCTGCAGCCGTTGCCACCTCTCTGACGGGTGTCCGTCCATGGAGCCCAATGACCACGTCAGTGCTGCAGGTTGGGGCCGCCCTTTGAGACTGGGTGGCAAGCGCTTAATTTTTGTCCGCAGCCGGTGTGAGCAGGGCGACAAAGGGGATTTTGCCTCAGAAAGCAGCTCTAGTTATTTTGGTTTTCAGCTATGACTCAGCCCTAAAATAAGTTCTTAAAGACTTCTATTTTACAGATGCAATAAATACTGCTGATACATAAATGACATCCTGGGAGTTGCACTGCGTGTCTAAAATCATAAAATAATATTACTTACAAAAACAGGTTTTCAGACGAAGTGTAGTAATTGAGTTTGGCTCTTTTATGGATGAAATATAATGTGATCAATAGATTATTATGCTTTCTAGTAGTTAAAGTTTTATGTTATAGAAATGATCTATGGAAACTATATTGGTAGAATATAGAGTGCAAAGCTCCAGTTACATTAAACAATTTCTATGATCTGGCATCTTATGTGTAAACTCCAGCAATAAGAAAATGCTAATCAGCATGGACTTACCTGCTAAGTTTTAGTGCAGGCCTGTATGGGTGGCCTATAAAATGGGTTTTAAATAATTTATTTGGTTTTTTTTTTATCATCAGTAGCTTGCTGAAGGAAACAAAAAGGTGAAATACTGACAAGCTCCCTGCCATTTACATGGCTCAGAACTCAGAAACAGGATTTGCAACATGGGCTTTTTCCTTTTCAGGCTCTTCCTAAAATGGCTCTTCCTACACAGAAATCCAGTGGTGCCCTGTGTTTCTCCTTCCAGGTCAGAGATTTGGCCAGCACGCCAAAGCATCAAGAGATTGTAAATATTTAATTAAAAATCAAAATAGGAACAGAAGAGATGGTCTGAGCCGTGACCACGGAGAGCAAGGAACACCCGGCTGCTGCGGCGGGGGGGGCGG